TATATATATAGTGACTGCCAAGTTTCCAGTCAACATTAACTTTACGATAATTTTTGGGTCCTGTTTTTCAGTTTATATTATAAATAAAAATTCTTGAACAAAGGCCATTTGTCAAAGCAGATGCCTAATAATATTTCTATGTGAATTTTACAATTTCTGGTTCAAGCAAAATTAAAATTCTTATTATATCAATCAATCAATCAACTTAAGAGCACAATACTTTTAATATTTTAAATACTAAAATATATTAGGTACTTATGTATTAGATATTTATTTGTAAAGACTTTATCTGAGTAATACAATAAAATTATTGGCCAGAAATTTTTGGCAGTCACTGTATGTATAAACATGTATATATTTACAAGTACATGTATTCATAGTTCATTCTTATCTTAATGTGTTCTTATCTCAACCTTCTAAATTAATGTCTTAAGACGTTAATATAGCTCTATAATTGGTTTATGATATCTTAAGACTGCATTTAAGATGGTCTTAAATATAAGAACTGACTATGAATACTATTCTTAGAATTTCATATGATGTCATAATACAGTTAAAAAATATTAGGCACTTAAATTTTTTTCATTCATCTGGAATTTTTTTATTTACATTGTTATTTGATTACTGGCACCATACATAAGTTTAAAAAGGTTCTTAAAACAAAGGATAATTTATAGTAAAGTCTATAAATCAATTTTTGAGCTAAACTTTAAATGATGGTTAATAAAGTGCCTAATATTTCTTGTCCAAGCAATATAGTTTTTATTTGAAAAACATTGCAAATGGAAGTTTGGAAATGATATCAGAAATGATAACAAGTAAACATACTAGAAAGAGATACTGGAGACCATAAACGATGGAATTAATTGTGAGTACGGGCTTCCAGTCCTCTCGCAAAATATTGAGGCACACATTACCATCCAAATCAATATTAGGATGATAAACTTGAGTCTCGCACTTCACCTTGGGTGGCTCATGCGGATAATTGGGCCCGACTTTGAAACTAAATACGAACCTACCACCTTTGTAAAATCCCTGAAACAATTAAAAAACCTTCAGATTATTGAGATATAAGAAACTAATGTCAATGTGGAAAGGAGTCACTGTGTCAATCTCTAAACACCGAAAATAATCCCGATTTCTGGCAAGACGGCGAAAGTGATATTGATCTGATTGACTGTAAGAACTATAAGGTGCTCCGGAGCAAGATTTACTTACTTCATCTGGACAGATGATTAATTTAAAGCTTAGCAAATCGTCGGGATCCGGAAATTCTGTGCCGCACGTTTTCGGGAGATTCAGTTCGTTTATGTCTAGAAAAAAGGAGCACCAGGTAAGAGAGAAAACTGACGTGCAGAAAGCGTACAACGTGGCTCAATGGCATTGCTCCGAACCTTTCGTGATCCTCAGCTGTGCCGCGGACGCCTTCTTCTGGGTGCCAGCCTTGGGTGACTCGCCATCTTTTTTCGCTTGTTTCAACGAGAATAATTTGATCATAGTTAGATCGCGTGCTCGACGCCGACGCGGGCTGACATGCAAGTGTCTCGGGCACGGGCCGCGGTCACGCGGACGGCATACAAAAATCAAACCCTGGAGAACCGACGATTTTTTGACACCACAGGATCAATCGCACGGTTGGTCCCCAACTACACTCGCACGCAACCACGCACCACAGGCGGCGCAGCGGCTAGTGTCACGTGGACGGTAGACAGACGGTCATGGGCGCGCTGATGCCACGGCGTTATGGATGACAATCTCCTTTGTCACGCGTCGATAATTTTTTTTCAAACGAGAATTCCTTTAACTAGCGAGGTCGGTAATGTCGATGTAACCTTGTTACCGACGGAACCGCTCACAGCATTAAGGGGTTCGTATCTTCTCCGTGAGATGGCATTACTGGCAGTCAGTGTTGCCAACTCAGTAGATATTCCATCAGGAATGTGTTCCGTTTTTACTGGCAGTGCAGTAAACGTGACGTCATCACAGTAATCTGCGACAACTGGGAGCTTATTACGGTTTTTGTGACGAAATGAAAATTACAAAAATGTTCAAATTCACTAGATGTTAACCAATGAAGTTATAAATATTCTAGTATTCAATCACTTTTGTAATTTTCACTTCGTCACAAGGAACCGTAATAAGTCCCCTGTTCCACAATTACTGCATTACTGCCAGCATAGCTGTAACAGCGTATATCGGAACAAATTTCAAGTGCTATCAATATGGCGATGCACGCAGTAAATAAACAGGTTAAGTTACAAATTTGCATGATTGCAATAGAAATATTGAACGAAAGCAGTGATACCTCACTTACCATTGCGTGCTTTATGCGCATCTTCTACATTTAAATAAAGAATATATGTAGTTATATTCAGGATCTAATATTTTTACTTTTTCAGTAGTACCAGAGTATTTATCATGGAACATATCGGAATTCCGATCGTAATTTTCCCGTTTTCTCTAGATAGATAGAAAATATGATAGAAATGTGAAGAATAATTGAATAATTTTGATCGGTATCAATTCCGAATAATTCCATAATACGTATCCTTATGTGAATATGCCTGATATCATTGGCGTTAAATGCCATGTTCGATATCATATTTCTACTGTAACTGCCTCACCTCGAAATCTGCAGTAGTCGCAGTGGCAATATGGCTACCATTTACGACGTCATTGATGTTACTGGATGTTGTCGCAGTGCGCTGCGCACTAATAATGGAATGATTTTTCAGTACTGCCAGCACTGGCAGTCTATATTGGAACACACTCCAGATTAGGGATAATAAGAGTTATCCACTTATTACCCCGGATCTACAATAGGGTTTTAAGCCTTAAGTCTAATAAGAAGTGGGCGAATCACAGTCGATTATTCCCCTCGAATTCGACTGTAATTGGTCAATTTCTTACGGCTTAAGTCTTAAAACACCTATTGTAGATCTGGACTCAGGCGATTTTTGGCGTGCTTCTGGTATAGCAACCAAAAGCAACCGCGGTTGGGGTTATCTTTGTCTTCTGATTCCTGAAAACGAAGATAGCCTCAACCGCGGTTGCTTTTGGTTGCTATACCAGAAGCACGCCAAAATTCGCCTATTATGGAACATGTCAGAATGAATTCCAATTACCGATCGGAATTATTCCGTTTTCCCTAGAAAATACAATAGAAATCTAGGGAATAACATTATTTTTTAGAATAATATTAATTAATTATTAATTAATATTATTCTAGTAATAATATTAATTCCCTAATAAATATGTGCAAATCGTAAGGTTGCGGTTACATAGATTGATATTTTCCGCGTAAAGCTGGTTCTACATTAGTCGCATCGCAATATCGCAAGCGTGTCGCAAGCGTTATGGTCCAATCAGAGTCGAGATAGCTTGATGTTGATTGGACCGCAATCCTTGCGACACTGCGATGCAACTAATGTAGAATCAGTCTAACGTGTTTCGTGTAACCAATTAGAGGCGTTCCGCGCTTTCTGTTACATCTGTTTTAAAAATGGGCGAGTTCAAGACGGCAAAGCGGCTAGGTGTGCTTACCGAGCGGTTGAATATGATTGGTAGGATCTATAAGTAACAACCAATTATGTTCATTTGCTTGGCGAGCCGGCTAGCCGCTTTATCAACTTGAACGCGCCCATTGTCATCGTTCACAAGGACACATAATTTGCGTAAAAAATATCCGCGTAATCAATCAACTGTAACATTTAGCATTTCCGTTCGAATATACAGAATAGAAAAATATCATTGGTTAAGATGATCCTAAAGCCGTCTGTATTACCGACTAAATCATAATTTTTGTATAACAAATACTTTTTTCTCTTTCACAGACTCGAAAATCCTTTTCCAGGATTAAAGTATACACATTAATACGTGTTTGTGAGGTGGAATTTATGCCGAAAACGACAAAAAATTTCGAAATTGAAATCTTAAGAAAAATTTTTTGTTCTCGGCATAAACTCCACTTCACAAACACATATTAATGTGTATACTTTAATCCTGAAAAAGGATTTTCGAGTCTGTGAAAGAGACAAAAGTATTTGTTATACAAAAATTATGATTTAGTCGGTAATACAGACGGCTTTACGTGCCGTTTTATGTGCATTAAGGATATTTAATTCCGCGTAACAAAAACCGCGGAATGCCTCTGATATTATTGTTTCGTAAGTTGAGTAACCTAAAAGGAATAATGAATTCGGAATTATTATCTATTATTGCTTTACAAAAGCAAAGAATAATTAAAACAGACAGAATGGTCATTCATAAAATTAAAGAATAAATTAATTGCTTTTTTTACTATGCAAAGAAAATAATCGAAACAAAATTGTGAAACGAAAATATTGGTTTCATTCGATTTTTTCAAACGAAAAGTGACAACGGTAGCAAGTGTATATGCATGAACAATGGCATAGAGCAATATCAAGATATATGGCACTGTTCAGAATTCCGATTGAAATTATACAATTATTTTTTAGATTTCTATTATATTTTCTATAAGGAAAACAAATTAATTCCAATTCCAGTTCCATAAATACGTGCCCTGAATAAATGTATATATAAATTTTTAAATTTGTATGTACATACTATTAATTGTATTTTTTATTTTTTCCGACAATACTGCTTTTCTTGCTTTAGATCTTTCTTTAATATTTAAACGGTGATCGTACAATTAGTGGCCTATCTATTATTGCCCTAATAAAACGGTTCATCCAAATCTTCGTTGTAAATAAATAAGAATAGTAATTAAATAAATATTACAGAAATATATAAGTAAGTAATATAAGTAATAAAAGTACATACAGCCTTGGTCAAATATAAAAAAAGTAAAAGAGAATAATATTGTAGAAATAAAGAGAGCAATATCTAATGAAAGTATAAAAAGATTATTAGAAAGTATAAAAGTATATAGAAATATGTGATAAAAAAATGTGTAGCTATTATTCGCGAAATAACGCAACTTGTTTTATAGTAGCTATAATTATACAAAGGAGATTTCAAAATATCCAGAAGATTTTCTATAATTTTTGCTGCCCTGTAATTTTATTATTCTGCAATTTCGAGCGCCCTACTATAATTAACGTTCATTGCGCAGGTCCGCGCGGTGTTTTCGCGCTTTTACGGTAACGTGCGTGATTCCGTGTTTCAAATTCATCGTGAGTGACGTTTAATTCAACTTCTCCGTCCGCAGATACATATTTGAATTCTGACATTCGCGTAAATTCAAATTGCATTCGTTCAGCTGTGGAATATAGCTATTTATAGAATGTCCTAACGGGATTACGAGTGTCTCGTATGCGTAAGGTACATATTTGAAAGCGTTTCGCGACTCTGCACTTCACGTGATGATTCGCCGACTTTGGGAGGAACTTGCGTACTGCGCATGTTCGCCGCACGAGCTTTCGTCGTAAATAAAATTCTGCATCATCTTTAACGATTCATTGGGTAATTTTTTAATTAACTAATTGCTACTGGCGTAATTTGCGCTGCATCCTACGTTGCTGTGTCCGATTTAATAATTCTGTGCGCAGCGTGGCTCAATTTGTCATAATAATTAGTAATTTCATTTACAGTCATCGAGCCAGACTGCCGTGTGAGATAACACGATTTATACGCGCCGTGCCGCGTCGTGCATGTTTATAAGTTCAACGACAGTATGAATAACGCGCAAACGAACTGGCGACACGACTCGTATTTTAACTTAGGATTAACTCGACAGCAGAATGACGTATCGAAAAACGTCGCTTTTGAATAGTCGCTCGGTTTAAGAGGATCGACGATCGATCGGAGCACTGTCACTTGAATGGGCAACTCCAACGCCAAAAGGAGCTATCATAATCAACAGAGGTATGATAGTCAGGTGAGTATTGTTTAGACTTATATCCTAACCTATAATAAAGAATTTATGTCCTCCTGTTTGACGTTTGATAAACATCAATCAACAGTAACATTGCATCAGTAACTTAATTTTCCATTTAACAAAATTAATATAATATAATATATTTTATCTAACGATTACATTATTAAGTAAGAAATTGTAATATTAATGTAATGTTACTGTCAGTTGAGTTTACTAAAAAAAAATTTATGTCCTGATACGTCTGTTGTGTGCTTGCATGATGCATTATAGTTACATATACATATTTTGCATTAAAGGCAATGTTATTGATTTATAGTACAGTCTCAGTGATTTGCTTGGTGGAAGCTGCGTCAACAATGCAACAGCGCAGGCTTCTAACGAGGAAGGAAGGTCATTGTCCCGTGCTTCTCACAGAAGGTAACACGAGTTAGCATTGTAATTAGTCTTTGATAACAGATTTCTATACATATTAAATATCATGATTACAAGAACTAAATTTGTACTCATTCACTCTTCAGTTGGACCAAAGGCACTATACAGGATATTCACGGATCTTCCAAAACAGTATGGCCCATTTCACGCTCTCAGTCAATGTTCCTGCCAGAATTTCCAGTCAAGGAGGTACCTCTGAAAACAGGATACGTCTTCTTAGATGTAATAGCTAAGGGTGCTTATGGCAAAGTATATAAGGTGCAAAAGCAAGAAACTAGTCAGGTCTTTGCACTGAAGGTGATTAGCAAAGCCATGATTGTGGCAGAAAATTGTGTCAGACAAGCTAAGGAGGAGGTACGTCCATATCTAAGATGATGCAACTTTGATAAATATATTGATTTGACATA